TAGGTAAAAAATGGCTGAAATCCCAGCCATACAAATTCAGAAAAAGTATTAAAAACTATTATGCAGGTGACTAGGGAGCTTTGTGGATACGTTGGACTGCCAGAAAGGCAAACAAGAGGGTTCTAGATCAAATCACGTCTGAACTATCTCTGGAATAAAAAACGTTGAAACTGAGACTGTTCTACTTTGGGTGCATAATGATAAAGCAAGATTCTCTGGAAAAGACAGTAATGCTTGGAAAGGTGGAAGGCAGCAGGAAAAGAGGAAGTCTAAACATGAGATGGGCCTACTCCGTAAAGGAAGTCACAAGATTGAGTCTGCAGGAGCTAAGTAGGGAGTTGGGGACAGGAGATTTTGGATATTGCTCATTCATAGGGCCACTATAAATTAGGCTACTTGACAGCTGATGGTGTATAACAACCACCACCACAAAGTTTTTTTAAAGAAGTTTTTTAAAACAAGCTTTCTTGTTGATAGAGGATTTTGTCTGCTAACCATTTTAAATGCAAGTGTCTTGTGATGTTCCTCTAAAGCAAGTAGCCTTCTAGGCAAGAAAAATGAAAGTAATTTTTTGTTCTACCAGAACTTGATCTCAGTGTGATCAGGTGGAATTCTTCAATGTTCTTGTGAATCATAATGATTTCATTCCATTTTCATTGATTAAAATACCCTTATAGTTGAAATGTGTGTGTACCTAACCAAGGAGAGCTGTAGAACCAAGACTGTTTCTACACTAAGATCTTTTAGCATGCCAGAGAAATAACTGTTTTGTTTATAATAGAATTAAAGCTGAGGTTCTGCCTGCTGCTGAATTTTTCAGTTAAAAGCATAATGTGTTCATGTCTGTTCAAAAGCAGTAAACATGAACTGAATGGGAATTAGTCTTAGGTACTGCATGGGATTGCTGGCTAAGTCTGATATTTCTGTCCATTGAGCAAAGAGAGAAAACAACTGCTTTTAAGTTAGGGGTGTGTGTCATTTCAAGATAACTTTAAAAAATATTGATTAATGGGAGCACAAATTAACTATAATACATTGACTTAAAAGGCTAAGAAAGGTCAAACAAGTCAAGAAAAAGGAAGCATTGGTGACTTTGCTTTACTGTAAAGCTTTCTGTACAATGTTCTTATCATGAGGCTGATAGTTTTGTGTTTACTCATCAGTAGCTTGAACGAGAACTTTGCCTTGTTCTTCTTCCATTCATGAACAGCCATCAATAGCAGTACTTTTACATCTGCATAAAAAATATCTTCACAGTATATAATGTATTACTTCTGAATGCTTTGTGAATGGGCATCTTTCCCACAGTTAGTACTGTCCATACGTTCCGGGTTTTATTTTTCTGTGAATTCAGTATTCACCTTCTCCCTTCCCACAACTGTTTATGTGCACCTGTATCTCAGGATAATGCTTCATGTACAGTCAACCCCCGACTTACGAACGTCCCTACATATGAACTTTTCAATTTATGAACGGCTCCGCAAAAATTGGCATCGACTTGTGAATGGAGCCTCGACCTACGAACGAGGTCGAGGCTCCGTTCGCAAGTCAGTGTCATTTTTTTGTGAACAGAGCCGTTTGTCGCCTTTGGAGGTCTCAAAGGGCTTTCCCCCACCCGACATTGGAGGAAGCCCTTTGAGAGCTCTGAATGCAAAAAGGCAGGGAGAAAGGGCTGGAAATTTGAATTTCCCACCCTTTCTCCCTGCCTTTTTGCCTTCGGAGCTTTCTAACGGCTTTCCGCCCGACATTGGAGGAAGCCCTTTGAAAGCTGTGAAGGTGGCAATTGCAGTGGCAGGGACCCCCTAGGAAACCTCCCTGGGAGTCCCTGCCGCCGCTATCGGCACCTTCGGAGCTCTCAAAGGGCTTCCTCCGATGTCAGGGGGAAAGCCCTTTGAGAATTCTGAAGGTAATTTTTTGAAATGCTGGAACGGATTACAGTGGGGTCTCTACTTAAGAACGTCTCTACTTAAGAACAATCCAACTTAAGAACAGCTCCATTTGCTAAATTTTGCTTCTACTTGAGAACAGAAATCCAAGATAAGAATAGGAAAAAAACCTTTCCTGCTCTTTTTTTAACCTTAGGTCATCTTAGTTTTTTAAAAAATTCTCCCCCTAGTGGTAGAGTACGTATTAACCAACTTTGCATTAGTTCCTATGGGAACTAATGCTTCAATGTACAAACGCACCTCTACATAACAAAAAACCAGCCATAACGGATTAATTGGTTTTCAGTCCATTCCTATGGGAAATTTTGCTTCAACTTAAGAACGTTTCAATTTAAGAACACCATTCCAAAACGGATTAAGTTCTTAAGTAGAGGTTCCACTGTAGTTTCTATGGACGGAAAAGAGCAGATACGGATTAAATGGTTTTCAATGCATTCCTATGGGAAATGCAGATTTGACTTGAGAACTTTTCAACTTGAGAACCACCTTCCAATACGGATTAAGTTCTTAAGTAGAGACCCCACTGTACTTCCATTCCCTGTATTTCAATGGAAAATGGTACTTCGACTTATGAACTTTTTGATGTATGAATGCCGTTCCAAAACAGATTAAGTTTGTAAGTCGATCTGTATCTGATAAACTGGGATGTGGTGGCACTTTGGGTTAAACCACAGAGGCCTCTGTGCTGCAAGGTCAGAAGACCAGCAGTCTTAAGATTGAATCCACACCACGGAGTGAGCTCCCGTTGCTTGTCCAAGCTCCTGCCAACCTAGCAGTTCGAAAGCATGTAGATAAATAGATACCACCTCAGTGGGAAGGTAACGACGTTCCATGTCTAGTCATGCTGACCATGTGACCACGGAAACTCTCTATGGACAAACGCTGGCTCTATGGCTTGTAAACAGGGATGAGCACGTGCCCTAGACTTGGACACGACTGGACTAAATGTCAAGCGGAACCTTTACCTTTACCTATCTGATAAACTAGATCAGAGTTCCTATAACAGATATTGTCTAGGTATTTTGGACTTCTGTGATCTGTTAGCTAATGAGAGACAGTCCAAAGCACCTGGAGCATGAGGTTTGTGAAAACCACGTTACAAAGCCATGAAGGCTTATTATGCCTTAGTAAATTGTTTTTAATTCTACAGGCTGTATTTATCTGCATTGCTTCTTTGTTGCATAAGCACAAAAATACTTCAGACCTGTTGTAAAAATACAAGTCTTACAGCTATGAAAACTGTCGGCACAAATACTTTAAATATGTGAAAACTAAACTTAAGTTACAGATAAATACATAAGCCAGAATTCAATCCAAAATGCAGGAGAAAACGTATGATGAAATACCATTTATTTATTTATTGTATTTATACCCTGCCTGCCTAGTCATTTCGACCACTCTAGGCGGCTTACAACATAAAGGATAACAAGTTCAAGAAAAATTTATAACAATTAATTAATTAAATGATTTTGCAAGATGGGAAAAATACAAAATAAATCAAATAAAGAGAAAAAGAATAAAAAAGGAAAGAGAACAGGAATTAACTGGAAGGGAAGGCTTGTCTATACATCCACATTTTTAGTTGGTTCTTAAAAGTACCCAGCGAGGGTGCAGCGCGAATCTCCGGAGGTAGGTTATTCTAGAGGCGAGGAGCCACCGCCGAGAAGGCCCGGTTTCTAGGACTTTCCTTCCGGGCCTCCCTCGGCGTCAGGCTCCTCAGACTCACCTCCTGGCTCGCACGGGTGACACGGGTAGAGCTAGTTGGGAGTAAGGGTTCCGCCAAGTACCGAGGTCCTAAACTTATCAAAAAGAATGTTTTAAGTATTCAGGAGCTTATAGCCTAATGAGGCACATTTAAAAAGCAAAAGACAAAAAATCCCCTGGGAGTTAACACTCAGATGAGGTAAAACATAACTGGTTGATTAGACCCAGAACTAATCTGATTGGTTCACCACAATGTCAGGCCCACAAACTAGGTATATAAATCTTCTGCACCTTGTGGCTGATTATCTGATCTCCTAGTTGGCTAGCCATAAACTTGATAACCTCTTACATGGTCTGTAGCCATTACAAGGTATCAATAACATGTTAAATTGTGAAAATGGTTAGGTTTTAAAGCTGAAACTTTTACCTCCACAGAAGAATGAATTTTTTTTAGAAGTAGCTATACAGAGTGATTATGGTATCCACAGGGGATCAGTTCCAAGCCCCTCCCTGCAGATGCTGAAAAAATGCTGAAATAATGAACACTGTACTTAGCATGGTCTTGGGCTTTCTCTAGTGGCCAGTTCTGGTAAATACACCATGGAAATACATGGAAATATGTATTTCTGGAGTATTTTATTCAATATTTTCAGGCAGTGGATTAGTGAGTCTGTGGACAGTGATCCTGTGGATGGGGGTGGTGGTCCTACAGTTTTTTGATATTTTCTACTCTACAGATTTCCATTTTTGTCATGTTTTCTGTCTTCTCTTACTTGAGTGTTAGTTAACATGCATTGTGTTTTTGTTACTCTGTGTTAAGAATTGTTGTGTGTTTATGTTACACTATGTGGACTACTTCAGCTTGTTCAGGGATGGAGAGAATATCTGTCACAGTAGCCAAAACCTTGTTGCATCCTGCTGTACATGGAAGGGCATTGTTTGAGCAGTTTTTTGGTTTGCTGGCTGTCCATTGCATGCTGAGATGTGTGATGAACTTCCTGTGAAGCTACCTTTCAATGATCCAACAGGATTTTGCTGTTAATTTATAATTCTGTAGGATTTAAATGGATGTAGAAAGCAAATTCACCTGTAAACTTTTTTTTTTCCTGAGAAGGCAAATATTTTCCTGATCTCTGGTAGAAAAGAGATGGCTTCATATTTTACTTTACTTTTACTTTTTTTGAATTTATACCCCGCTCCTCTAGACAAAGTCTACTCGGGGCGGCTTACACGAGTAATAAAACAAGATAAAATAGCATACATTATAAAACCTTTCATCACACTAAAAGAAGCATACTACTACAAATAGGTATTTTCTGATGGTAATGCTGTCTTATCTTCTTTTTACAGTTACTGTTCTGACTTCCTGGATTGCACTCCATTTTCTGAAGGCCTTACATTGCCACCTTAAGCCATGGACATCGCTGGATTTCTGAAGTCTCAGTTTATTTGCCACCTTCTTATCAGTTACATATTTATAGTGTCGGGACTAATAATCAACTTCATTCAGCTCTTCACGCTCTTTCTCTGGCCATTCAACAAGCAGCTTTTCAGGAAGCTCAACTGCAAGTTGGCTTACTGCATTTCAAGCCGTAAGATGTTTTTAGTAACTTTATTTCTCTGTTTGTAAAGATTTGCAAGGGAGGTGGGGGACCTCAGCTTTTTAAATTGTAAAGCATTCTGTGTTCTTGTTTTTTGCCAAATGTGTGTTGGGCTGAAATATTTTGACAGAATAAGAAAAAAAAAGTATAAGACATTTTTTCATTTACTCACTGAAAAGTTTCCTTTAAGATACAGGGCTTTGATATCAGCATATCCAAAAGAATGTCCAAAAAGGGAATTACACTTGAACCTTGAACAGGGAAGGCATGCTAGTAGAGGGTTCTGGCATGTAGGAGAAATCTGCAAATGCTATTGTGGGAAAATCTGAGGATTTCTGGAATCTTAATGAACTCTGTAAGATCAGTAGCAAGCAGGGTCCTATGGAAAACCCTGAATCCACCAATACTGATTGTGTCCTGGAACAGAAGGCACAGCATTCTGTGTTATGCTTGCTATTTATAGAATATGAAACTCAGGTTCCAATAATTTTAATTGTTACCCCGGGGAACTGATAGTTTTTCTTAGGATTATACATCAGTGCTTACTGGCTCCATGGTAAATACCCATGGTTAAACACAGGAAAGTGGAAAGGGTTCTTTTAGACTACTGTAGACTACTATAAATACCTTATAGCCATAATTAAATAGATATAGTCATATGGCTCAATTCAACTTTGAGTAGACCCAGTGAATCAATTGGACATTGATAAGTCACCACTTGTTTGCACCCCACCGATTCAGTTGGTCGCTCTAGTTGGGAATAACAATTGTATTTAGTCCATAATCCCTATCACCCTCTGGTAGTTTTAGCTTTTTCTGAACATGGATAGAACTCTGCTTCCTGTCCTTTTCATTTCTGGTTCTTTTTTGGTCAAAGTTAGAGTTTCCTTCCCTAAGAGAAGAAATGCCTACGGGCTCAGAGTAATATACTTTGGCATTCTAATAAGCAGATTGTACTTTTTTGAAGAAAGGGAGAGCATGAATCACTGAGTCAGTTGCACTTTCAGTCTCCCCCCACCCAACATGTACAGTAAAGCGACAAACAGACCAAAAGCCATTTAGAAATGCCTCCATGAGATTTATCATTCTTACTGTGGTGATCAAAAATGGTGATGAGTTATCTCTACAAATGAGAGTGAAACTATTACCTGATAACACAGGTCAGTATATTACATGTTTATCAGGACCCAATAAAACATCATAGAGCACAGAAAAATTGCACAGCTGCTGCTTTTTCATTGTTTTTCCAGTTGGACCAGCATGGCTACCTGCAGCTGTTTTTGTCTAGAGTATAAGAAACTGCTTTATACCACTGGTCCATTTAGCTCAATATTGTCAACTCAGCAATCCAAGTTGCAGGTAGGATTCTTTCCCAGCCCCACCTGCAGATTCCTATTATTATATCTCATCTAACAACTAATCAGGTCTGTTCCTGCTTATCTTCAGAGATCAGTGTATCCAGAGTGATATGGTGGTAGAAAAGTTAAAATGCAAATAATAGTTGATATATGTCCTTTTCTTTGCTTCTTTCCTCTCTCTCTCTCTTTCTCTTGTACATATACTTACATGCACATATATTTATCCTTTGTTTATGAGTAAAGTGAACTGGAAGGCATTTCTGTCCATTTTTTCTATCAAATTACTGCTGAGGTAGCTTAGTTTCAGTACATCTTTTCACTGGTGGCACAGTTTGGATATATTATGGACAAAATTAAGAGATAAAGTTAAGGTTTGCTTAATCTCTGGTGTAACAAATGTTTAGGTGTACTGAGTCCCATTTTTAATTTACTATTTTTCATATGCCACAAACTATATGTATATATGCAGGGATGCAGTCACTTTGGCTCAAAATTTAGAGTGGGCAAATGATGAAGGGATCAATGCTTGCCCCACACTATTCAACATAAACCACAATGCCTAAATATACATGTCTAGAATGTTCTGTATCTGATATCAATTCCAATACAAATAGTAATGTTTCTCCTCAGTCAAACTATGATAATAATGATGGTATAAAACACTGGCTTAATAGAAAAGGCAGTATTACCTCCCCTCATCTTCTCTAACTGTGGCATGCCATGGATTTAGTTGATACAGTGGACCCTCGACTTACAGACGGCTCGACTTACAGACTTTTCGAGTTACAGACTTCTCTGGCTGCAAAATTTAGATTCGGCTTGCAGCCAGAGAATCGACTTGCAGACCAGAAAAAAACCAAAATGGAATAAAAATAGAATAAAAACCACTGGTTATGGGATTAATCGGTTTTCAGTGCATTGTAGGTCAATGGAGATTCGACTTACAGACTTTTCGACTTGCAGCCACCATTCCAATACGGATTAATTCCTTAAGTAGAGGGTCCACTGTACATTCTGTGAACCTCTCTGAACTTCAGTATCAGTATGTTTATGATGAAATAACATGTCATCTAAATTTCTAGAGAGAATAGAAAAACACCTTCATGTTTAGTTTTTTTCTTCTGCTGTGCTAAGGTGGTTTTCCTATGGGGGCGGTTGTGGTAAACAGGAAGGGCGTTTTTGTTTTGTGAAACTGCAGGATTGTAAATCAAAACAGTAGGTTAATATAATGGGGTATTTTTCATTGAGTTGTACTTGAGAATGTTTCTGATGCAAGTGTATTAAGAAAAATAAAACATTTAGTTTTTTCCTAACTTATGGGATTGAGGGTAAGTAGCTTGGATCTTAAGACCTATCTGTGTTCTGCCATTTGGCTGATGCCACAACTGAATCTGCCATACTTGATTAGAACCGTGTTGTATTTATGGTGCCCTTACAATAAAGAATGTGGATGTGGTGGCACTGTGGGCTGAACCGCGGAAGCCTGTGCTGCAGGGTCAGAAGACCAGCAGTTGTAAGATTGAATCCACCCAACGGAGTGAGCTCCCGTCGCTTTGTCCCAGCTCCTCACCAACCTAGCAGTTCGAAAGCATGTAAATGCGAGTAGATAAATAGGTACCATCACGGTGGGAAGGTAAACCGGTGTTCCCTAGTCATGCTGGCTACGTGACAACGGAAACTGTCTTCGGACAAGCGCTGGCTCTACGGCTTGAAAATGGGATGAGCACTGCCCCATAGAGTCGGACACGACTGGACTAAAAATGTCAAGGGGAACCTTTACCTTACAATAAAAAATAAAGACGATTTTTAAAGGGATAACACTATTAAATAATCTATCCTCAGCTCATACCAGGTCAGTCTGAAGTAAAGTGAAGGAATGTTGTCAACGTAGTAGTATGTTTCTCTTTGCTAGAAGAAACATGATTGAACTGAGGCTGTTGTACTTCAGTGTGTAATGAGAAAACAAGATTCACTGGAAAAGACAGTGATGTTAGGAAGAATTTAAGGCAGCAGGAAGAGACGAAGACTGCTTATGAGGTAGATTAACTCAATAAAGTAAGTTAGAGTTTTGTGTTTAAGCAGAGCAATCAATGATAAGATTTTTTGGGGGGGGAATCACTAATTAATAGGGCTGCTATAATTAGTAAGCAACTTGATGGAATATAATAGTAGCAGTAGCATGCTGTATGCAATCCAGTCTTTGTAGTTGTATTGACTTAATTTTGTTGCTTGGTACCCTTGCAAGCAGCTTAATAATATGGAAGGTTACTTCTTGTCTAGATATTTGTATTTATACAAAAATACAAATGAAAAGAGATTGTTTCAATGGGATGGATTTTTATCCTAATCCGGTACTCACAAGAACACACAACATTTACTAGTAGGCATCACATTCTGATTTCTTTTTAAAAAAGAGATTATAATATAAATCTTTTCAAAATTAATTACAGGGTGGATGAAAGTCATGTTTGAAATAGGTTGTCTTAACTTGATTTACATCAAGCTTTCTTTGTCACTTCAAAATAACTGGATTTGAAAGAATATATCTGCACAAATACATGTAGGGTATGATTTTAAGCTCCAAATGGGTGAAAGAGAAATCAAGAATGCTTCTGTCCTTGTGAATTTTTTACAGTCAAAAGTTTTCATTCTGCAGCAGCTGTCTTGCCACCTCTGAAGAAAAGGCATGTGTCTAGAACACAACCATAAAATGCTGCCAAGAAACAAGAAGCCATTTCAGGCCCCAACCACAGAACTACTAGGCCTCCCAGGTAATCACAGGGCTCAACATATCCACAGCCTCAGGCATCTAGCCAGCATCTGCCCCACTCCAAAGATTTATATCTTTTCTTCTGTCAATGGAGGTGGGTCTGCCTCTGCAGGCATGCACACACACACAGTTCCAGGAGTATCCAGAGATTTGTATAGTAGCCTCACAAAAGCAAGGACTCAATTGTGTCACTCAACATTCTTTGCCACCCCCATTAGTTTATCACAATGGGCTTTAAAACAAACAAAATAGCTTGTAAGGGGTTAGGAACAAAGATATTTCTCTGTGTTGTTGCAGATTCTTAATACAATACATGCATGTTTAAGAATTATATACAGAAGCCCCCCCTTTATCCATGGGATCAGTATCCACTGATTCACACCCACAGTCTGAAAATATTAAAAATATTAAAAGAAAAAAAATCAGAAAATACTATTTTCACACGTATTACTAAAACCGGCCAATAGAGGGAACCAGAGACTGTTATGAATACTTATTCGTGAAGAATACATAGAATGGTCCCTGGTGCCCTCTAGTGACCAGGTCTGGTAATGTATGTGAAAACATTTTTCTGTTTTTTTCTTTTTACCATTACCTTGAAACCAATCCCCAGCAGATATTTGGGGGGGGGGTCCAGCAGTTCATTTTGTATCAACGGGCCTAGATTTTTGTTTTAATAAATTGCTTGATGAATTGCCAGATGTCATAGTAGTAGCATGGTGGTTGTAATTAGAGTTGTGAGTATTCGTATATGAATGTGAATATCCCTGCGCAGCTAGAGTTAACGAGGGTCCACCCCATGGAGCTGGACTGTCCACTCACATGTCCAGCGGCAGCATCGCTTATCCTTCCAATCACTCCTG